GAACTCCTCCCCGAACTTCCCGCTGCCCTGTATCTTGGTCTCTCATTGGCTGTAGGTCATCGCCGATGTACTTTTCAGTCAGAACAAATTTCACACAGCAGGATTTTGAATCGCCGACAGGTCCAGATATTTAGCATGCCAAATATTTCACGGACGTCTGCGATTCTCTCAGATCGCGTCTTTGATAATTCACACTGCGTGATTGTCACTCGTGTGAACGAGCACTGATTTGCCTCTGATTTCGGGCATTTAACGGTGATTTCGCAAAACCTGTCGGCGAGTGAAAATCGGGGCTAAAATCGTGCAGTGTGAACTTGGCATTAGTCGCTTCGTTTCAAGTTGGTCATGTGAAATCACCATGTTGAGCAACAGACCTGCTTGGTTTGAAAGTGACTTCTATGCTTCTTACATCTCTACACTTTTGAAAAGAGACAAAGGAATTTTGTTCTTAAAATTTCACTGCAGTTTTGGTAATGTGATCACACCTTAATGCGTGTTTACTTGTATTTTTTTCTGTCTTATGAACTGAGCGGAGAAGTTTTTCACGGAGTAATTTCCAAATTTTACTAATTATATCTCTTCCGACATAAATGACAGTGGCTTTCTCTGCCTCATACTCTTAAAGTTTTGTTCGCAATATATGTAATGCACATTTAAACAAATATGTGAATAGGAATGCAACGTTTAATGTTCAAATAAACACAACTTCCAGAATCTGAAATCAAATTGGATTAATTAAGATGGCGAAAACGAGTGTGCACTGCTGTCTCTGCTTAGCTATGACAGGAACTGGCTATGAATTGGTGTTTGCAAAAATTGAGTGAGAATGTTACGGATGTTTAAAATGATTATCGCTAATATAATAGAACAATATTGGTGACCAAGTTTGTACATCTTTGATGTGCAGCGTGTCTACTAGGGATCCATACATTTTATGAAAAACGTTTCTTTAAGCCTACAAATAATTTCCCGAGAGTGGTATTTGCAGACAAAGATTTCGATCCATATCTCCACGCGAAGATTTCATAAGGGCTTCTCTCTGAACCCGTCAGTAGTTGACTTACTGCTCGCAGTCATGCTGATTCCATGGGGTGGTGCCTCGGATGCGAAGTGAAGCACACTCCGCAGTGAGCTAATCAGATTTTTCTTAAAACCGCGGCCAAGACATACGTAGAGCAGCGGGTTCAGACAGCTGTTAATGTAAGCCAAGCAGAGTGTCAGCACATGGGCTAGACGCAGGTTGACTGTAATGATTTCTGATTGTCCTTGCGTCGTTAACAGCAGAATATCCACAATGTTCAAAGGAATCCAGCACAGGAAGAAGCTGAGCACCAATGCCAGGATGACACGAAGCGTCCGGGCCGACTTGTCGCTGCCTCTTTGTCCTCGCCCAGAGCTCATCGTGATGAAAACCTTCCAATGGCTGATGCAGATGATCAGGAAAGGCAGCAGAAAAGACAGAAAACAGCGGGTAAGAGTTACGGACCATGCATGACCTGAGTCACTGTATTTACCATTGCACAATGTTTTAGTCTTGCTCACTTCACGCATCTCCATGTGAGCAAACTGAGGAGAACCAGCCAGGAGAGCGAGAATCCAGACGACCAAACAGACGCAGCGGGCCTGCCTCGTGTTCCTGTGGTTCTGGCACCACACCGGTTTGGTCACCAGTAGGAAACGGTCCAAGCTGATCACGACCAGGAGCAGAACGCTGCAGTACATCATCATGTATAACAAACCACTGAGTAATTTGCAAGCTAAAGCACCATAAGGCCAGTGCTGGTCCTGGGCGAGCGGCACCATGAGGAGAGGCAACGATAAGCAGCACAACAGATCCGCGATGGCCAGATTCAGAAACCACTGTGCGTTCACAGAGTTTGGCATTCGGAACGCGGTCACCCACACCACCAGAGCATTCCCGGGGACGCCCAACAGGAACACAATGAGGTAGCAGACCAGAGCGATCCAGTGTCGGGAACCTATCCTGGACAGTGGCGTTACAGTGGGGAGCACAAAAGGGGTGCAGTTTGTAACCCCCTCACACCAGTCGGTATCATTATCAGAGTAATCAGGAAAAATGTAGTCACCTTCCTCCATTTCAGCTGTGAAATGAGAAAGAGAAAAATAACAGAAAATGTGCAAAGTAACTCAAAGCAAAAACCCACAAAGCAGAGTCTAGTGGTTATTTAAGGGTGCGTTCACACTAGTCATGTTTGGTTCGATTAAAACGAACCCTGGTGCGATTGCTCTAGTGTGGTTTATTTGAGCATGAGTGAACGCTGCCATCCGAACCCTGGTGCGCACCAAACAAGCGGACCGAGACCGCTGAAAAGATGGGTCTCGGTCCGCTTCCAAGCGAACTCTGGTGCGGTTCGAATGATATATGAACGCTACATGGACCAAATACTTCTAAACGAACCAAAAACAGGAAGTAATGACAAGATGCGACGCTATGCGACATGATTTGACGACGCGGTGTAACCAAAACAAAATGAGCAGAGGGCAAACATGGAGTAACGATGAGGTAAAGTGCCTTTTATGAGGTCCTTGTGAGTTTGCAGGTGGTGAAAATAAAATTATATGTACACTCAAGAATGAGTGCACTTAGTCCAGCAGACGGCATTAGGTGTGTTCGACTTAAAGCGGCGCTGAGAGGACCGATCGGTTAATGGGTGCTTTGATATCATACACCCGCAGCGACGCTTTAAGTCTAACGCACCTTTTGTTTGGGGTGTTCGGTGAGTTCCGTCACGATATATGCGTGAGGCAAATGGTGGTCACACCAGATACTGACTGGTTTTTGGACCCCCCCGGACCCCCCAATACAGTAAAACTGCACATTTTAGAGTGGCCTTTTATTGTGGCCAGCCTAAGGCACACCTGTGCCATAATCATGCTGTCTAATCAGCATCTTGATATGCCACACCTGTGAGAGGGATGGATTATTTCGGCAAAGGAGAAGTGCTCACTAACACAGATTTAGACAGATTTGTGAACAATATTTGAGAGAAATAGGCCTTTTGTGTACATAGAAAAAGTCTTAGATCTTTGAGTTCAGCTCATGAAAAATGGGAGCAAAAACAAAAGTGTTGCGTTTATAATTTTGTACAGTATGCCAATGTGAACGCTAAGCGGACCAGGACCAAATGTATCATTTTTCTTTTTGGTCCGGACCAAATGAAGCAAACGAACCAAACTACAAGTGTGAACGCACCCTAAGAGTCGAATCATGTTATTTGCTGAATGTCATTTTAAAGAGTCAAACATTGCAATGTTACATTGTTACGATGCAATTGTGAGGACATTAGGATATTTCAAGGCATTTCGTAAAGTTCTACTTCTTAAAAGAAAGTTTTAAAAGGAAAGTTCATCAAAAATGACAATTCTGTCATAATTTATTCACTCTAAAGTCATTCCAAACCTGTAAGATTTTCTTTATTCTGTGGAACATGAAAGAATATATTTGGAAAAAATGTAAAAAATTTTTGTCCATATAAAGAAAGTCAATGGGTTCCAGTGTTGTTTTGGGAATATTATTATTTATTTTTTTGTTTCCCTCAAATTGTTCCTCAGAAGAAAGAAAGGATGATGATTTTTTTCTTTTCCTTGTTTTTTCCTTTACACCTTGTAGTAATACATAAGTGTAACTATAATCATGTTACAAATCTATGAAAATAAACAATAAATACCTCTTTGAATTTCTGGTTGTGAAGTGCTGATCTGCTACACAAGATGTGATTCAGCTCGTCTATTTTTGTATCCCTTATAGCCAGGAAATGATTGCAAAGTGCTGTGTGACAAGCCTTTTCCTTAGCAATGTTGTGTAAGCAATTTTACACAATGTTTGATGCAGTCATTGGTCTTTAAACTTTTTAAATTTAAAAAGTGTCATGGAAGACTTGTTTGTAACTGGAACAGAGAAGGATGATGTCTGTCCAGCTATATTTGAATCAGCAGATATTGTTCTTCTTTTTTAATGTCATATTATTGTAATGCGATTTGACAGAACTGTTAGGCAAGAATATAAACTAAAAATAATTTTCAGTAGTGGTACTGATGCATTTTATTGCTTTAAATTGCATTTAATAATAATCATTTGAGGAAAAACATTGTGTGTACATATTGCAAAGACGAATGCTTCACAACAACTGAGTGACAAAGTTCCTTTGGGGGAAAAAAAATTAAACAGAGCAAAACTTGTTTCTATAAACATACACAATGCACTGTTTTATTCTACTCAGAGGTGCACTTAATGGTTAAAATGCAGATAAACATGACAGAAATACAACACAAAAAAAAACTGATATGGGTAAAAGAAAAAGAGGACAAATACGGCACACAATTAGGGTTGAAAGAAATGTTCCATTACAACACATTTCAACTCCTCTGTAACATAATACTCTGTCACGGATGATACGTGTGTGTGGCGTCACTAAAATTCATGTTTCCGTTATGCTCCTTCCCCTTTTTTGATGAATTCTCTGCAATTTTCTGATCTGCATGATAAGGTGGAATGTGAAAATGCTGACTGGTTTAAACCCAAAAATACAGAAACGAATTTCTGCATTCAAAAACACAACAAACTGTGGAGACATGATTCTACAGTGATGATAAGAAGCAGAAAAACTAACCTATGCAAGACTGTTATGAGTTGCTATAGTACAACATATAATTTCATTTCTTTAAATTGCTTCACAAGGTTCTGTTGCTCTTTTTTTCTAGCCTACAGAAAGCGTCAGTTGAATGTCATCTTGTGCAACCACAGTCAGACCACAATCAGCTGAACATTAGTTCTTCTGTAAACAGCTATTCAGGTTAGCGTCCTCTAGTCATTTCCTGAAGGACCCTGAAAACAGGAAAAGTTCAGTGGGTGTCAGTTCAGAGATGAAGCACTCTCTGGAGGTAGAGTCGGGGTGTCGTCCCTAAAGTCATCTGTTTGAAGATCTACAGGATAGACGGAGAGAGAAAATTAAACGAAACTAAAGCAACCAGACTCCTCTAATGTAAAGAAACTGAAAATGAGCATTAGTCAGTTTACACAGCAGTGCATAGCAGAAAAACTAACCTATGCAAGACTGTTATGAGTTGCTATAGTACAACATATAATTTCATTTCTTTAAATTGCTTCACAAGGTTCTGTTGCTCTTTTTTTCTAGCCTACAGAAAGCGTCAGTTGAATGTTATCTTGTGCAACCACAGTCAGACCACAATCAGCTGCACGGTCCCATTAGTTCTTCTGTAAACAGCTATTCAGGTTAGCGTCCTCTAGTCATTTCCTGAAGGACCCTGAAAACAGGAAAAGTTCAGTGGGTGTCAGTTCAGAGATGAAGCACTCTCTGGAGGTAGAGTCGGGGTGTCGTTCCTAAAGTCATCTGTTTGAAGATCTACAGGATAGACGGAGAGAGAAAATTAAACGAAACTAAAGCAACCAGACTCCTCTAATGTAAAGAAACTGAAAATGAGCATTAGTCAGTTTACACAGCAGTGCATAGCCCTCTGTGACATGTGCTGCTCTTGAAGAATTCAAAAAAACTTGGTGTTTCAAAAATATTTTGGTGTTGCAACAACCCATTTTGTCCTATAACCACAACAGTGACTTGCTGTTTAAAATGGGGTTTAGGGGCCGAATAGATACAGATTTTCTGTAGAAAATCTGAGTTAAAAACATATATATTCAGGCCCACACGGAAGTTCACAGAAAGAGTGTTCCACAGCATCTGAATGCTGATCGTTCCACACATCTGCCCTATGCGTGTTTGTTTATTTGATAGTTTGGTTAATTTGAGCGTTATTTCATCAACCACTAGAGTTCTGCAGGGATGGCATATTTTTGTAAGCCAAAACCTAGAAACGAAGCTAGCATTTTAGCACTTCCAGTTCCATCGTCCTGACGTCAGTGGATTTTTTGAATGGGATTTTGGTTAACTGTCTGGCATAAGTTCTGTGGTTATCACAAGCTCAAGATATTTTCACTTTTATTCCATGACATGAAATTTATCAGTAATGCCCACTTGTGATTTTTTTCAAAGATGTCTTGAAAAAGGCAGATGCTAACAAGTGGCTTAATGGGACCACTTGATAGTCACTTTCACAGCCTCATTGTGTTTACAGTCGCACTCTTACAAACTATTCTTAAACTTTCCAACTTGCAGATTTCAAATAAAGACTGAAAGAGTTGTTGGAAGCTTAATGGTGGTGACGTTGAAGTCGTGTGACCGTAGTGTAGTTCGTTTATAGCTTGGTTTACATTTAGTCATTTTGCCGACGCTTTTATCCAAAGCGACTTACAATTGGGGAATACATAAAGCGATTCTTCTTAAAGAGGCAAACAGACACAGGAAGTGCTTGAAATACCAAGTTTTAGGCATTGTTCAAATAAGTACAAGCTAGAAAAGGGAAGGAATAAATAAAGAGAAATTTTTTTTTTTTTTCAAGGTCAAGTAGTGTTTAAAGAGATGAGTTTTCAGCTGTCGCTTGAAAATTGTCAGGGATTCAGCATTCTGGATAGGGGTGGGGAGGTCATTCCACCAGCCAGGAATGGTGAACGAGAATGTTCTGGAAAGTGATTTTGAGCCTCGCTGTGATGGTACGACGAGGCATCGCTCACTAGCGGATCTCAGACTGGTTTAGCTTTTTACTTAGGCTTTGAAAATGCATAAAAGAGGTTCATTTGTGAAGATTATCATTATGAACAAAGCATTTAAGGATCATAAACTTTTGTTGGTCACAGAGCTTATTTTCTGCAGTAATCCAACAGCAAGTGGAAAAATCCTATTGGGTTTTTGTCAAGGAAACTAGGGTGATGCTAATTTCCAGGTTGGCACACAAAAATACGACATCACTGAAAAGTTTAGTACTCTCAGATCCGTTTGACATGTTTTACCATGTTCAATTCAACTGATAACCACTGATTTCCCACCTAATTACCCCCAAAAGAAGGCAATACAATTTGTGAGGGCCTAGTTATTGTTCTGAATGGTCATGAGAGTACCTAACAGAGAAGTGTTCTGCTGGTGGTTTTCAATAATAGAGCTCTCTTCCTCATCCTCCCCCCAGTCAGCGATGTTAGCAGGTGGGATGCACTGCTCCAAGAACAGATCTTCATCGAAGTCCATGTCTTCTGGGGGCCAGCGCAGCTCACCACTCTCCACCTCGCTGACGTCAGTAGGCTCCACCACGATGGACGGCAGGCGCTCCTTCTCCTGCGGCGCACAGGTCAGACAGCCTTCAGTACTCAAAACTACTTCCACTGGATCTGGGAAGATCTGCAAAATAAAGGAGAAAGAGAGCAGATAGAAATCTTCAGTATTGAATGGTGTTTGCATTACAGTGGTTTCTGTTTGTGGTTGTTTCATGTCCATCAGGTGACTGAGGAAAATGCAACATCATTGTGAATTTTGGCATGTGATTAATGCTACAATCTGCATATGTCCTCTTTGTGATCTCTATTACTTCAGAACTGCTAAGGCAAACCGCAATCATCCTCAAATAAAATGTAGATAAGAATTGCTACAACATGAACACCTTATATGTGGAAGACAGACGTTAGATATAAGTGTAGATGTCACTCAAATATGCATTTTATCTCAAAGGCAAAAACATATCTGAATGTACCCTTCATTTTTACAAACTAAAAGATAAAAGAATGACAGATGGTTCTGTTACCTGAAAGGGCAGTCTGTCCCCTTTTCTCTGAATTGGATATTCATCCATGGCCTGGGCTTCTGGGTACCCCATCTCTCTGTTATTGTCACGGTCCAGGTGTGTGGAGGCAGGCAGGATAACGAGGACGACAAGGATTCAAAAGAAGGATATTTAATGTAGCAACAACAAGGCAGAGACACACACACACACACACACACACACACACACACACACACACAC